TGTAGCATATGATCCCTAGTTTGTTTCGGTTTAATCATAAATTATCCTACAGTGCATTGTTAATTTGAAAATATTCGTCTTTTGGAACGAACCAAGTACTCATTTGAATTTTACTGGGTGGTTTTGTCGTGATAAGGTTTAGGTCTAAACCTCACCAAAAGAAAATTGAAATCAAANCCCAACCCCCAACCCCCCAACCCCAATGAACATTTTCACATAATCATGAAAATTTGATTATCATTGTTTATTATGTTACATTATGCTTGTTTTTAATGTATTTTTTATGTATAGCAGTGATAACTCATAAATATGTATTATGTAAAAGTAATCTTTCCTTTGATGAACTAATTAAGGTTGAGATTCTGTTATAGACAAAGATATGCAGATATATAAAAACTATAAAATAATCTTAATGATAAAACTAATATACACTTGGTTATTAATTTATTTTGGCTTTTACCTATTCGTTAAACAAAATATGAAGGATCCTTACATTGTTTTATATCTTTTTACTTTAAACAAGTAAAGCAAGAAAAGATATCATTTCATTTCAAAATAATTTTATTGTTAAAATTAACAATAGGATTGGGCACATGCATCGCCTATAAAAGCCCTTTCCATATAGAAAGACATACATTTCAAACTTAACTGCATTTAAATTGAAGATGTATTATATCAAGTTAGGTAGATAGATGCAGGGTAGGCCGAACAAATAAGCCAGTTGTATATATATGTACATAGAGATTAGCAGTCTAATAGAGTTTAACAGGGTAGATCTAGTGTTTGATAAGGGCACTTCAAGGTCACTGTCACAACACAAAGTGCCATATTAACCAGTTACACTAGCATTACAATAAATTCATGATACATAATATAATGTGTGGTACAATATAGTTAAAATCTTCCAGATTTTCCTGTATAATGTAGGACACACGAGAGAACAAATGAATTTGTTTCAATACTTAAATCCATATCTTCCTTTGTGAGAAATTAAGTATCTGATATAATTTTGTCAATTTCATTAGATAAAATGAAATTTGCCTTTTATTTGCATATCTAGGGCAAGTAGGGAAGAAGTGACCTACATCTTCTATAAGATGATCATTAAACAAATCTGAGTTAAGTTGCAATTGAATCACATTATTCCGCAGTTGACATAATATCATATTAAATTTCCTAGATCAACCATATTATTTTAAAAAGTCAGTACAGTTTGATGGCTGTCCATTCTGTGTGCTTTGCTTAATTACAGAAAAGATATCCGTGTCTGACTTCCCATATAAAAATTATGTTTTAGCATATTTGATATCTGTGACATTGAACGATCGCCAAGGTCGCCAATGTTTACCATACTTATATCCATTTATATTAACAACCTACTTGCCAAAAATCAAGGCCCAAGGATTTCTGGTTATGAAGAAAACACAATGTAAAGGAAAAATAGACAGAGAGCTGTTTTTCTTTTTTTAATTTAAAGGTGTTATATGATAAATTTACCGGTTGTCATTTTTTGGGGAATTCTTGATGTTAAAATATATTATTGGTAGCCAACTATTAAGCAAGTATGGAAAATAGACTCGTTTTAGAACTATGTGTATTAACGAGTCCAAAATGGGATTTTACTCATTAATAATGAAATTTCACATACTTTTTGCTTTAATCTTCAATAAAAATAACAATTCTTCCTTGAAATAATGGCACATTCGGTATCAAAATAATAATTGGAATATGTTGCACACGATGATGATATCACCTTTAACACACATACAGGTGTAAGTAAAAGAGGTCCCATTTGTCATAAATTTAATTATGAAACTGACTGTTCCTGACTTAAGCTTCCTATACCTATACCTTTTTGCATTCATCTTGTTTTAAAAATCCAAGTGGGGGCCGACGCTAATGTTTAATATCCATAGGCGTTGACCCAACCTTTGCAATGTGTTGATGAAATTAGTGAAAATTTACAGTTACCTGTTAAAGTTCTGGATGCAAAATTCCATTGTGAGGAATCAAACTACGAATTTCAATTATATAATTTATACATCCTTTAACAATGAAAACTATTTCAATGGCACTCGGACGACTAAGTGGATAGAGCGCATGCGTCACTGTAAAATTTGAAAACAGTGACAGCAAATAAAATTCAAAACTTGTAATCACAGTTCTGAATAAAATCAGCAATATTTCAGCTATCACTGAAAATCAGTTAAACCACATTACATACATTATCATCTAAAGTTTTCAATGAAACATCAAAAATTAAAATAAACTAAAAACAAAAAAAAAACAAAAAAAAACACATAGCCTCATATGAAAGTCTGACAAATATCATGTCATCCTCAATCTCAAAACACATATAAGCACAACATATCGCATATAAAGATTCTGAAAGAGAAGCAAAATTCACACTGATAAATAATATGTACACATTTTCAGTTAATGTTTTTGTTAATGTTGATATTATACAACACAAAAAGTTTAAATAATCACAAAATTACATCACATACAGTTGGCAATGACGCACAATTGAAGCAGGTAAGCAGATTTGGGTTAATCAAGATATCAGTAATTCTTAAATTAAAATAATAACATTGTTTTTTTCAAAATTAGCCTCATTAAACTTGGTATGCACATCTTAACATTTTCATCGTGTATACCTGAACTCAAAAAACGTTTTGAAATAACTAGGTATACATTTTTCCTTTTTACAGTTGTCAATTTAATACTAAACACATGAAAATTATGATCAAAGTCCATTTTTTATACAATAAACAATTCGTAAATGCAGGTCGTGAACGTGATCGCTGGACTGATGTTCCCGTGGATCCGGACACAGTCAGGTACCGGTACTACATCTGCTGAATGGCACAGACCAAGAGCTACCCCAAGGCACCTGTATTGCGGATCTAGGAAACATCACATCAGTCTCTGCGATCAGTAACTGTGGCTGCCTGCCACCATCCCTCTTTTCTCTAACTGCCATCTCCGATGGTTGATGACATTCGGACGGAGCACGGTCAGGGCGGATGGCCGCGTGACTCCCGCCATTTCTGTTTAAACCATTGTAATAAAGGGAGTTCACAAACTGGCAAGTACTGTCTTTGAGAGGTGAATATTCCGTCTTTGCGTATTGCAGAGTTATCTTCTCTTGGGAGCAGGTATTGATTGTTACGTCATTGGTTTGTGTGAGAAAATGACGTCGTTTTCTCAAAAATTGATGACATTACTCTCACACACAAGTGACGTAACAATCAATACCTGCTCCCCAGAGAAGATAACTCTGCAATACGCAAAGACGGAATAATGCACAGCAAGTAAAAAGCATCTCATCTACTTTAGGCGAATGTCTCCTTTGGCGTCGTCGACGACGGAGGGCATAGGTTTATCACTCGGATAACCAACATAAACACGTGATCGTGGAGAGACTCTGTCGTCAGCCTCAGGCATGTCGAAGTGTTAAACAAATCAGGGAATCGTCGTTGAAATAGCTCCCTCGCTTGGCTAGGAGAGGTGAATATGAGTTTATATGAGCATGAGTTTATAAACTGACGCCGACATTCAGATTCCCCACAATGTAATAACGTGGTATGCGTTACATAGTCGTACAGACATTCAATCATAATAATCGTGCCGGACAACTTATCCGGAATAAGGTAAAAAATAATAAAAACAGAAAGGAAAAGGATATGATATCCGGAATGGAGTTATTTCCCATTAGACCGTAAATTATATAATACGATATCTCACAGACCAGTTTACATATACATAACAACGTAACGCGTTTCATTTTTCCGATCGGTCATGAAACATGGTCGCTGCAGCTTTTGCTTGGCATATACAGTAGGCTATAAGGTTTTTTCTTTTGTCTAGATTGTAATGAATGTGAAGGAGATGTTAACGTGACACCCTGTAAGTGTTAAAGCTGACTTTATCGAGAACTGACCGCCTTAAACTGGCTTCTGATTGATCGAAATTCGGATATTGTCCGAGTTAGCTGACATGTGTTATTGTATGTAGATGTTGTTATAGCACAGCCAGCCCTTCCCGATGCAACATTTGTGACTTTTAGTACAGTTTGGTAATTATGTTACAGTCCGCTTCATATTGAAACTTTATAATTTCTTGAAGTAGCTCCATATTAACACGGAACCCAATTAAACAAATACATAATTACGTCATGATAATGCTTTATGTTGTGGAACCCATAACTATGGAGGGTGACTGCGGCTAAATATATCCCACAGGGATTGTTAGACATTTGAAACTCATCTATTGAATTAGAGATACTATGTATACCTTGTTTGACCGAAAACGTTCAGATGGAACACTGATTTCCATAATGACGATACAAGGAACATACTAGAAAACAAATGAGGATGACGAATCCTTACATCAACGAATGGAAATCCCGATTTTGTTTAACTAGGACATTTTTAAGTACTATGCTTATAAAATTACATATGCTTTAGTGTACTTCTGTATAATTTCCCGTGTTTTTTCTGTTTTGATTAACAGTGTTATACAGAACCAAAAAAACAATCAGCAAAACGCGATGAAAAGTAAGCTATTCTGTTACCATAACATCTATACATTGTATAATTATTCATGAACAAGAATTAATGATTTAGAGAAAAAAAACTTTTAATTAAAGAAATGATGCTTATTCCGAGATAAAATCACATTTGTGCACATTGCTTAACGGGTTTGGTAATGTCATACTGAGACATATTACAGAACATTTGACAACACCCCAGCCAAAGAGTGTATGTTATTTTAAATAGTAAAAGTTAATTAATCATTCAACCAATGGCGACAGATATATTAGACAAAAGAATTTGTCAAAGTTTGTAGGCAATCTATCCCATTGTCAAGACAGATATAAGACCACTTACATATCACAACATATAACAAAGATTAATAGTCGCTACGAAACACACACATAAACAAACAAATCAGTTAGCATTTAGGAAATATGCTGACGCTATCACATATATCCTCAATTAGCAATAACTACCCTTCGGTTACAATCTAGCCGAAGGAATATGCTACAATACAGATCAGCATCATATATCTAACCAACATTGTTATTGAAATTAGTTGATAGTATCTATCTTTTGAATGTTGAGAAAGCTTTTATGCAATATATTTGCAAATCGATGAATCCGATACAACATTTTGGAACATCATATCGTACTGTTGTTGGACTTGCTTTACATTTAGTTCCCTATACTCAATGTCGAACAGAAGTAGATAGATCCCAAAAAGGGCGTCTTCTTCAAGGTTGTTTTTGCAAGGCTATTGTTCTTTCTTCTATTCTTTCAAACAACGTATAAATAGTGTTTATGTGAAAAACCAGAAATAAATTCTGAGCAGGGAATGAGACTGTTTGATGAATTAGCTATTTTCGGGTCGTATTACTGGGGTAGTATCACATTTGGCATTCTTCTATCGACACTAGCTCAACTGTTATGTTTTCCTTTCACAGGAACAGGATCAAACCTCTTCAGCCAAGAAAATCGACTTGACTTTTGGTGAGTTTACCAGTGTTGACCTCCCGTGCTTCTACACTTAATTCAGTCCCTCGATAGACCAGCCTCACGCTGATCTTTACATCCCTGTCCGTGCTTACACTGTCAGTTTGAACAGTTACAGTTCCTAGTTTCGTACATCCGGGTTCGGTCACAAATGTTGGTGAGTGGTTTGAACTCATGTACACGTCCAGAATGGCATAAACGCTCCCTGCGGGGATAAAATAGAACTTTTCAACCACATCGGCCCCCACTGTAGCCGTATCTCCGACACGTAGGTGGACGTCGAACACGTCATCGACTAGACCATCCACGACTCGACATGTCGGTGACGAGTGCTTGTCCGGGTTAAAGGGAACTTGCATCGCGATACCGTACGTGCTTTTACACACGCGACTAGCAATGGCGAAAGGTTCGTGTCCGAACAGAACCGCCCCCTTGAGCACCGCTGATGAGGCATCACTAGGATTAATGACCCGGATGTGAGGAAACACCCGACAAATATTATCCTTTACAATCGGCGATTCGGAATATCCTCCTACCAGTAATATCGTACTAACACTTGAGACCGGTTCCGAATTTAGCAGCGCGATGAGGTGTCCAACAATATGCGACAATGATGAAGCAAACAACGACTCGAAAAGCTCCGCGGTCAACACGAGCTTATCCCGCTTCAAACTTAGTTTGTCTTTGAACTCACTTTTAGCTAGTCCCTCCGCAAAACTGACGTCATGCATTTCGGTGTAAAGATCAAAAAGACACGCTGGAATCTTAATCTGAACGGTCATTGTTTGACCGCTTTTAAACACTCGCTTCTTCACCTCAAACTCAGACATGAGCTCTAGCATTTCCTGTGGATATTCAATATGCGCACGCATCATAACCGCGTCCCCTAATATGCGTATAATTAGGTTTGAGAACTCTGCGTCCACCAATGTGCCTCCCCAATACCCACCGGATGGTTGATGAAGTTCTTGTAGAGTGCCGTTTTCTTTGACGATATGAACTGTAACATCAACTGTCCCGCCTGGAAACAAATTTAGAAAGAATATTTAACATTTGTGTTGTCAGAAGTCAAGCTTACGTAAACGTGTAATTAAAAACGCAATGGAGACCATCGTTCCGCGACAACAACCTCAACACGATAAATCAGTATGGAATTGATTGAGATTATAAACGTATTTGTTACTCAATTAATTGATTTCAATGTGTTATCGTCACGTCACCGCAGGGATATACAAAACAGCCCCAGTTAAGTACAATGTATAGTCAGCTTGAAATATATAATAAAAACAAATATACAAAAGTATTTTCCAATTTTCCAGTAGTGTATGGTAATAAAGTGTGGTATACAGAGCAAGGTTAAGTATAAAGGACGAGTAAACAGAATAAAATATAAAAAAGTATGGTATACAGAGTAGTGTATGGTAATACAGTGTGGTATTCAGAGTAGAGTATGGTAATAAAGTGTAGTATACAGATAAGTGTATAGTAATACATTGTAGTATACACAGTAGTGTATAGTAATTAAGTGTGGTAAACAAAGTAGTGTATGGTAATACAGTGTAGTATACAAAGTAGTGTATGGTAATAAAGTGAAGTATACAGAGTAGTGTATGGTAATACAGTGTGGTATAGAGAGTAGTGTATGGTAATAAAGTGTAGTATACAAAGAAGTGTATGGTAATACAGTGTGGTATACAGAGTAGTGCATAGTAATAAAGTGTGGTATAGAGAGTAGTGTATAGTTATAAAGTGTAGTATACAGAGTAGTGTATAGTAATATAGTGTAGTATACAGAGTAGTGTATAGTAATATAGTGTAGTATACAGAGTAGTGTATAGTAATA